CCCCAAAACCCCAAAACCCCAAAACCCCAAAACCCCTTTGTGACTCGTGAATGTTGAAGATGCCCAGACTTAGTAATTTGATCCGTACTCGCTCCAGCTACCATCATAAAGCTTAACCTTTGGAAATCCAATAGAGGGGGCTTTCTTAAATCCAAATACTCCCACAGTTGCTGCAATGCCTGTTCTGCACATTCATACAGTCTCTTTTTCAGGATCTAACTTGTATTTTTCTACTAAACCTGTAATCTCTTCTTCAGATTTGAAGGTACCATCTTTATTCAAGAATTCAGATGCCTCAATATTGATAGCTCCTTTAATGTTTCCTTGTCTACAGCCTTCAATATTATCATTGGCTTCCCCATTGAAGTCTTTGGCTCCTCTGCAATCAACAACTTGGAAGGTATCCACTTTACCTTCTTCGAAGTTGTGCATCTCTTCAAGAGTGACAACAAGGTCTTCAGATGATTCAAGTGAGTCAATCGTAGACTTCTCTCCTGTGTATTCAGTACCTTCTTGGATTGGATATCCAAGTTCTTCATATTTCTTTAAGCCTCCATCAAGAATCTTTACATTAAGCCCGTAATGGTTAAAGATGATATATGCTCGCGTGGCTCCTGAATGCTTGCCAGGATGAGAGTAGAGAACCAACTCATCAGTCTTGTTAATTCCTAATGCTTCAAGATGCTCCTTGACAACTTCTGCTGGAGGGAAAGCATTTGGGTACTTGCCATCCTTATCCTTTAAGGTCTTGAAGACGTGGATGAACAAAGCATTTGGGATAGCCTTTGTTTTAAAAGCTTCTGCTGCTGGATCTCCTCCTGCACTTACATCAATGATTTTAAGGCTGTCAAATGCATCTGCCTTAATACTTTTCTTATCATCTCCAAATATCCTTCTTGCTAGATCTTCAACCGAGATTAGCATTGAAAGTGAGGTATCTGCTGATTCCATGACCTTTAGATTTTATCAAATTAAAAATTCGTTGATTTTATAGTATCTCAATAGTTTAGCAAAGTGGTGGGGTTTTGGGGTTTTGGGGTTTTGGGGTTTTGGGG